TGTGTATTTATGCAATCACTACTGGAAACTCCACCACCGCACAATGAGGACTCATGTCAATCGAAGAGGCATGATGGGCCGAGACACCCCCGACTGAAATCACAACCTTCCGATTGCAAATTGAGTGCATTACCGGGGCTGGCTTTCATTAATTAGAGAAAAGGGTTTCGGTCAGTAGAGTACAATATTAAACGAAACAAGGACAACATCTCATCGACAATCAATGCAATAATTTATTGTATTGCTTATATTCGGCCATTGGTCATTTGACATAAAACGATATACACTAGTATATCGTCATATTACTTTAAACATGTTTGATTTCATTTAACATTCTTTCGCAATACATGAACTGTAGGTGTTTTTGATGCAAAGTGACACTCAATTAAATCATTACAATTTCATTGAATTCTCGCTTAGATGCCTTGTTAATGAACACATCGTAAACATATACGGATATAATCTATTCACACATACAGCGTAGTATATGATTAGCCGTTTCACTTATTCATTAATCTTTGAATTAAACATTTAAACTGCATGTATCAGACAATACAGCACTATACTCCGTAGCACAGTGGTTAGGGCAGTGTGCGATGAACCCTGTAACCAGAGTTCGACTCCTGGTCATAGGTACAAAACGTGGCAATTATCCGAACCAGTCCACGAGTATATGGTGTGGTTTGAACCGAACCTCGGCTTCCCTCATTTACCAAACCGCATTAACCAAGGTAAAGTATGTTTAAAAAAACCCTCGGGACGTTTACAGTTTAGGGAATCTTTCATCAAACAGTGGATTTGACAAAGGGCTGCAACTTAGTGGAATTACTCGTTCATATCCACATAAATTTAGATCATGAGGCAAAGCTCATTTGTAATTATGTCCCTGACCAGACAGTGGAAATTACACATTACCATGGTAGGGGCAAGTAAATCCCTTTGACAACCACTACTGGAAACTCCACCACCCCACAATGAGGACTCCTATCAATCGAAGAGGCATGATGGGCCGAGACACCCCCGACTGAAATCACAACCTTCCGATTGCAAATTGAGTGCATTAACGAGGCTGGCTTTCATTAATTAGAGAAAAGGGTTTCAGTCAGTAGTGTACAATATTAAACGAAACAAGGACAACGTCTCATTGACAATCAATGCAATAATTTATTGTATTGCTTATATTCGGCCATAGGTCATTTGACATAAAACAACTGAGGGCAATGTCATTGGCTGCCGAACAATACTCGTGAAAATAACTACTATATTATATAATAGGGGTTTTCCCATTTTTTATGGCAACACAACTGAAACCTTTTTACAAGGAATCATGTGTGCATTAATCACAATACTTGTGGTCAAAATGCAAACAAAAGACACACTCTGATAATATATGCATTGTCCTTGAAACTGATTGGTCCACACCAGAGACGGCTTTCTTTTGAGCCTCGTCTTAATTGGTGCTAGACCAGAGGACGCCAAAAGGCATACAGCTCAAAGACAATGCACTATCAAAGTAATGATGGCTCGGGGTAAGCATCTACTTCATTAGACCTCCTTTGCCAGTACCAAAATATAATAATAGGGGTTTTCCCCTTTTTTCTGGCAACAAAATTGAAACCAAAATGCAAGTATTGTGGTTAATGCACACATGATTCCTTGTAAAATGGTTTCAGTTTTGTTGCCAGAAAAAAGGGGAAAAACCCTATTATTATATTTAGGTACTGGCAAAGGAGGCCTAATTATGTACTATATTATAATTAGGAGTTCTTTGCAGGCTGAAAAGGCGAGTGCCCGTGGTATATTAAAAGGGGTCACTAGAGAACAGGGGTAATCCGGTGATATTGTCCTGGGCAGCTGTGGGAGGATATGTCTTTTTGCAGTGACCTTTACACACTCACACAGTCATTGCTCCTATGTTTTAATGTGTAATCTCCATCAATAGGCCACTGCTAATTTGATCTGTGCTCAATCACATTCAAGCGACAAGAAATACAAAATACAGCGTTTTATAACAATCACCATCATGTACTACCCATATAGGTCATTACATATCGAACAATTTTAGATATTAGCTGATTCCTTTCACTCAGCAGACTTGCAGAATTATACGTCTCTTTCTCATCCTATTTGTGTCTCTTGCCCCACACTCATTTTATTGAAATTAGCTGGTGATGACACATTCCCAGTCCGTTAACACAATTTAGAGATGTAAATCATCCTTACAGTCCCCACATGTGGTAACACCATTTAAATAGACACAGGCCTATGAGTATGAAAATGAAATTTGAGATTGAGCGTCAAACTGCTAGATGTGCATTTGATTACCATCACTGTATTTATGAGCATGTGACCTCAGGCAAGTCATCAAGCAATGTGAGTGTGAACACTGGTTCAGAGCGGGTCTGCTTCAAATGCATATTGGGGGAACATTGGACCAGAAAACCCACAGGCTGATGAACGTATATGGTATTATAATTTTTGGTTGTGAATAAAACCCTTTGGTTATGAGTAAGTCATATAGGTGACTTACTGATGTATCGACAATTCTTGAATGTTATCCCCTCATGCATAAATTCTCTCTCAGCAGTGTTTACACATAAATGATAGAAGTATACTTATCATTATGCTTGAAATATAACTATAGTTGCAAGATTAACATGTTAACATAACTCTTTTCTGAAACAAAAATATTAGTAGCAATTTAAGTTATGTAATTTCTACGTAGTGTTCATAACGATTCAATTGTTGACTTTTTAATTTGGTTTTTAGATTTCGTGGAAACTATGTTGTTTTATCCATATGATTGACAATAACGGCCATAGGTGGACAGGCCTTCATGTTTACCTGGAAATCACGCATAGGGTCCGCTGAAATTAGGCCTCATGCATTGAGAAATACAGGGTAATCCATTTATAGTTAACGAACTAAAATGATAGCGAGAAATGACAGTATAGAAAACACGTTTATTTCAATGCATCTACATGTTTCCCAGCAATATCAAAACAGTACTTTAAACTTGTTGCAGTAATATGTTAAATCTTATATTATCTTCATGATATTTATATAGCGCCTTTACCAAGGCACTTTACAGCAATTATATAGACACAGACAATTTCAACCGAGAAGATGGGTACAAACTGAGCAATCATTGGAAGGACGTTATCAACCAGTTTGGCTTTGATGTTCCCATCCTACCACCTTTCGATGTTAGTTGTGCTTTACGCCCATTTCAAACTTGCGCTTTCACAGTCACTTCACGTGCCGACCCCTTGGCTGCAGTGTATTGCTTGATGATTTGCTTCCAAGTAGCACGTCTGTAGCTATCTGAAGGGTAAAAAAAATATCTAAATTTCGATAGATTATCTAATTAGTCTTGGCCAGTAGTAACTAGTTTTGCACAAAACTTCAACATTATCAAAACCAATTGAGTGTCCTTGTTGGCACGCGTGTTCTGCCACTGCCGACAGTTGTATTTGGGAGTATTTTCTATTTATTTGGTGTTCTTTTGCTCTTGTGCTGATCATTCGTCCTATTTGCCCAACATAGCATTTGCCACATGTGCAATTAATCTGGCACACGCCATCTGTTGATAGCTTTGGTAATACATATTTTGTACCAGATATTAACTGGGATGTTTTGTTTTACAAAACATCTGGCTAGTTTATCGGTGACTCCCACAATGTACGGTATTGTAATAGTTTTAATTTCTTGACCAGTTTCAACGGTCGTGTTGTTTGGTTTTGACATTAAGTGCCCTGTTGATTTGTGTATCTTTGTAACAGTTCAATTGCAGCGCTTCTTTAACATGTTTAATTTCACTTCTCAGACTATCACCATCTGACACTTTTTTGGCCCGAAGTATGAGCATCTTTAGACTTAAAACTTTCGTGACTGCAGGAATTATTGGTTCTTTCGGTAGTCACATAAATAGAAAACAAAAAAACTATATTCATATTCTTAGCTCTTTCGGTAAAGTCACATTGAAGGGAAACAATAAAATAATAAAAAATATATAAAGCAATAAAAAATTCTCACGTTTCGACCATAACACAAATGGTCGTCATCAGGTGTTATGGTCGAAACGTCGTGAGAATTCTTATTGTTTTATATATATATTTTATTATTTTATTGTTTCCCTTCAACGTGACTTTACCGAAAGAGCTAAGAATATGAATTACTGCAGTCACGAAAGCTTTAAATATATATAAAAAAAACTATAATAAAGGCAAAAAACCCACGACGTTTTGATCGCAACACAAGCGGTCTTCATCTGTTCTAGATTTGAAGTTTCCGTGACTGCAAGGATCCATACTCTTTGGTTCTTTCGGTAAAGTCACGTAGGTGAAAAATAAATAAATGAAATCACGACGTTTCGATTGCAAACACAAGCAATCATCATCATCATCAGGTGTGACAACCACAGCAAGATTGTGTTTACTGAAGTGGGAGAGATGCCAGAGTTATGGCACAGCGTTGTAATACGGTGGGGGGGGGGGTTTGTTCTGGAAGATTTGCTGGTTTTTATCCCAGGATGTTTATGTTGCGCGTCGTCGCTTTAAGATGTTTCTGTGTTCATATTTTTGTTTGTTGCCGTTGCACCCGACTCAAGAGCCGCATGGCTCACAGGGCCATACCTAACAAATGAAACTTGAAAACTTGAAGTTAAATAAGTCAGAGAGGGGGAAGGTGGTGGGGGGGGGGGGACGATCTCTGCAGGGACTCTGAGAGCAACGAAGCAACATGATTGCTGCACACAAAGGTAAGAGGAAGCGGCCGCTCTCCCCCAGGGAGTTTCCCGCGGTCCACACTCTTCCACTTTGGGAAGAAAGGTTTTTTTTTTTCCCCGCTTCCCGGAAGATCTTTCCGCTTCCGGAAGAACTCGGCAGATGTCTTCCCGTTCAAGAAGATATCTTCCGATTCCGGAAGAGCTCTACGTCCACGCCCGGAAGTGAAACAGTAGCAGCCGCGGGGAAAGGGAAAAAAAACACACATGGTGATGACGTCACGCGCGTGCGGCGCGCTGATTGGACGGCGCTGGCTCACGCGAGGCCGCGCGCCACGGGCCCCCCGTGGACACGAGACTCGGACTCGGCGACTCGGACTCAGCGGTGACTCGTACAGAGAGAGAGAGAGAGACGGTCGCAGAGGGACTCGTACACAGAGACTGCCATAGAGGGTCACACACAGAGGCACTCGCCCACAGAAACTGTCATAGAGGGTCACACACGCACAGAGACTGATAAGAGAGTCTCAGGTTGATTCTTATCGAGGGAATCTTGATTGACTCACACAGCGGGACGTAACAAACATAAAGACTCGGCTCATACAGAGATACAGAAACTCAAAACAGCGTGTGATGCACAGAGATACAAAGTAATACAGTCTAACACAGACTGATGCATAGACAGTTTCATGCACAGACGGACTAATACATAGACATCGTGAGTTTCATACATTGAGTATTCAGTTTAGCCACAAAGACGCTGAGACACCCAAAGCGTGGGACAAGAGAACACCAAAGACATCACACCAGGAGGCTGTGGTAAGGATGGCTTGGTCCTGGTGGTGTTATTTAGTTGGTGGTTAGGGTATCATCATTGTGGTGTTGATAATGGTCGTGATGTGGATGTTGATAATCGTTACGATGGTTGTGGTAATGTTGTTGGTGGGTTTTTTTTATGGTTTTTGAGGAGGAGGAGGCAGAGGAGCGACGCTCACAACAACGAGCGGACCGCCGGGTGGGTAAAATAACAGCAACAAAGATTATACAAAATACAGCAATTTGGCACAGCAGGGGGGGTAACAAGCTTGGTGGCATCTACCAGTCATCTCATTCAGCCAACCCATGGCACTTGCTGGGGGTCTGTCCTGAGATCTGTCGGCGAGCCCTTCGACACTTCACATGGCCTCAAAGTTCACCTAGCCTGGCACAAGCGCCGTCGTGTTGACGTTACCGTCACTTGGTGGCGAGTGGCGGGTATTGGTGTTGAATTGGTTGTTGTTGATGGTATCGTGTTGGTGGGTGGTAATATTTTTCTGTTGTAGGATTATTAGTGTGCTGCTTTTTGATGGTATGTATTGGTTGCTTAGCGTTAGTGGCGTATCTGCTGTTAGTGTTTGTGTTGCTATTAGGTTGTTGGCAATATTCAGGATGGTCTTGGTACATTTTGCACAGTATATATTCATGTTATTGATGGTCGTGGTGGTGGCTTTGTTGTGATATTGGTGGTTGGTGTCATTAAGTGTTATTGATGGTGGTGCTGTATTGTATTAGCATTGGTGTTGCTAATGTTTGTGTGTCGTAGCATTTGCGGTGGTTGTGTTGTTTCGTTGTTAGTGGTTGTCTTTTTAATGTGTTTTTGTTGCAGTGTTTGTTTGAAGTAGTGTTGCTGCAGTTGTTAAGGGTGTTTCTGATGTTTTTGTTCGTGGTTCTCGTGGTGGTGACTGGAGGCGTGTGGGTGGGCTAGGCCTGTCTGCAGCTTCCCTATTGGTACTCTGGTCACCTTGTTATTGTTGACTCTTGTGTTTTGCATGTGGGAGGTGGAACGAGAATTAATCCGGCACATGCTCGAACGATAAGTGGGTGAAATGCTTACATTAAATATAGTAAAATGCCCATCTGAATTTAATTGCATGATATATGCCCTGTGGATGCAATAGTCACAACATCTCATGCAATCATAATCACATGTTGTGTGGATGCAGTGTTCACCAGGTCCACGAGTTCTTTGGTCATGAATACATTACATTGTTTTTTACTCGGTGAAATATTGGATCTTCATTGTCTGGAACATGCATTGGGTGATCACAGCATAAACAACCCAGGCAAATGAATTAGATCACACTCAACTCAGTTGGCTTCTTAGATCCAGTTCGGATAGCTCATGGTGGAAGTCAATCTAGAAGGAAGCCAGTCTCTCCATAGGATGCCCACTGTTGACTTCCCACAGTTGGTACTTATTTTAGCAACCCCCAGAAAGATGATCAGCTGGGTTGACCCCCAAGTAGGGTTCACATTCGGATGCTGTAACCTCAGGCCACATTCGGTCTTTATTGAATGAAATGTCCGTCATCTAAAATTTTAATAACTTTTGCATTGGGTTAAAAGTTGAGTTCACGTTACTTTTGTCTTAATGGGATGAAGAGTACATTAGATGAAAACATTAACCTTATGGTGGGACCCCGGGGTCCCATAAGCCCCCGGCTCTCGCATAAACTGCGTTGCGACGTCTTTTTCTGTCTGTTGAAGGCGAACGATACGGCAGTCTATTCCTCTCGACGAGCCCTACACGATGCGCCAATCAGAGTTTCAAAGTTTTGTTTCTTCTGCGCATTCGTCCTCGCTGCGCTTGGACGACACGACAACAGAATGATCTGCGCCATGCGGGACGCGGCGTTTTATGTGCGTGGCGGGACAGAGTCGCCAAAACTAAATGTATTAATTACGATTTTGACTTCCGCCATAAGGTTCATATGATGTATTATTCACTGGCAGACAGATCAGCAGTTAAACATGTAGGCAGACATTGAACAATGAACCTTACACTGTGGTAATTGGGAATCTGAGTGTTGCAGCCATTCATTGTCCCTAACTTGCCTTGTACAGAGTCCAAATTTCAGTTTACCTCTGCCACGTGGTAATTTATTTGGTAAATGACACGCACCAGCCGTGATTAATTTTTAAGACCGTGACATCACGTTTGATGGCAGACTAGCTTTATCTGCAAAACTGCGGTTTCTTATGTCTTTTCTTAACGGGTTTCCTTTACGGGTTTCCTTTACGGGTTCCCTATTGATTGAATTAAATCAATGAGTGGAGTTAATTGGAAATAATCTAGTGTGATGATTGAACACTTGTTTTTTTTTGTATATGGTATAAGCAAGTACTGTATAGTTGATACGCTTTATAATGTTTTAGATGCATTATGCAAGCTTTCCTGCATTTTTACTATTTCCAACCGCGCAGATATTATCGGTGCCATTACTAGGTCAAGTACATCAATCCTATAGCTGTGATTCGTATAATCGCTTTTGTTTGCTGGATATATTTTCACGAATTGGCACGCCATCATCAGCCATGCCCAAACTACTGCTGCATGAAGGAATCCCCAAGCCATTTCTATTTGTCACGGTCCCATAATGTAACATTCCACCGAGTACCTGCATGTGAGCTCATTTAATCGCTCCATCCCCATGGTGGGTGCTATTTCCATGCAGAAAATAAGGAAACAGCTTCCATAACTCAAACCCCATTCATAAACTTTGCCACTAACTTCAGTAATAATGCCGAATGTGTGTGTTTTTTATCAGCACTGTATAGTCCAGCTACCTGTGTTTGAGCTTGTCTTCCCATGTGCAAAAATGCAAACTCCTGACTTGATACTTTGACTATTATAAATCTTGACTTAAAGCTTTCGTGACTGCAGGAATTCATATTCTTTGGGTCTTTCGGTAAAGTCACGTAGATAGGTTCAAAGAAATGTCGTAGTTTTTTTGTTATTTTCTTTTAACCTATCTATGTGACTTTACCGAAAGATCCAAATGATTTTACTGTTATAGTTACTTTAATGAAGAGCCTATAGCTGTCTGAGACGGCCCCCGTGTACAGGTCGGTTTATCACAAACATAATTAACAAAGATACTCAAGTGACCAAGCAATATTTTTTCTCCTGCGAAACAATATATAAATGCACTCCTTGTGACTTTAGAATATGTTGTAGTGCAGTTTATGCATAAATGTTTAATATTGTAGTAAAAGGCACATTTCTATTGTATTAAAGTGAGATAAATAGGTTGTGAAGATGTTGATTCAATATACCATTTTAAAAATAAATGAAAGAAGGGAAAAAGCTAAATAACCAGTGTTAGGAGGGGAATACATATCCGGTAAAGCCTCATTGATTCCACTGTGTAACATTTTGCTTTGTTCCTGGGTAGTAAGTGTTATTTCCTAATTGCTTATGCATCAAAAGTAAAGAAAATTGGCTTTTATTCCCCACCACTTTGCTTTTGTGACCAGGACAGTGATATTTTGAAATTTACCTATTTTCAATGAGAAAACTGGCGAATTTGTGTCTTTTCGTTCACATAAAATCAGAAAAAAACAACATATGAATAAAAATTAACATGTATTTATACTAAAGTAATACAAAAATGACTACAAAAGATTTAGACACCAAGGCGCACTACCACAGGCGGGACTGGCCACAGCGGACCGAGTTCTCTGTAGGGAGGAACAATGTCAAGTGGGAGCCACTGTGGTGGACCCCCGGAAGGTGCTGATGCCACCACTTCACATCAAATTGGGCCTTATGAAACAATTTGTCAGAGCTGTAGATAAGGAGTCGGCAGCCTTCAAGTACCTTCAAGACTTCTTCCCTAAGCTGTCTGAGGCAAAGGTTAAAGCCTGTGTCTTCGTCGGATCAAAGATAAAGAAGATCCTGGAGTGCAATGAATTCCCCAAGAAGCTCACTAGTAAGGAGAAAGCGGCTTGGAACAGCTTTGTCGCAGTGGTTCGTAGCTTCCTGGGCAATCACAAGGTCGAAAACTATGAGGAGCTGGTTAAGACTCTGGTGAAGAACTAAGGCACAATGGGCTGTAGGATGTCCCTCAAAGTCCATATCCTTGATGCTCATCTTGATAAATTCAAGGAGAACATGGGAGCGTACTCGGAGGAACAAGGCGAGCGCTTCCACCAGGATATACTGGACTTTGAACACCGCTACCAAGGACAGTATAACGAGAACATGATGGGAGACTACATTTGGGAGCTGATGCGTGAAAGTGATTTACAGTATAATCGTAAATCCCGAAAAACTACTCACTTCTAAATCTTTTGTAGTAATTTTGTATTACATTAGTATAAATACACATTAATTTTGATTAATGTTGTTTTTTCTGACTTTGTGAACGAAAAGGCACAAATTCACCAGTTTTCTCACTGAAAATAGGTACATTTCAAAATATCACTATCCTGGTCACAAAAGCAAAGTTTGTAGGGAGTAATAGTTATTTTCTATACTTTTTAGGCATAATCAATTACAAAATAACACTTACTACCCAGGAACAAAAATTGTGTTACATATTCTCAATACAGCCCTCGTTTTTTCAGTGAAGCCCTGTGATAGATGTTTGTACAATGCCCTGCTGAGTAAATTCAATTAGAGAATATCAGAGTAGCCCGAGGAAACCCATCATGTTGGAAGAGTCAACTTACATGATGATGTTTGTGCAAATCCACCAACTCCTCGTACAAAGCCCGATTACAACATGCATGCATCACCACGCCTCGTAAACTTGGTGACGATTCAAGTGAGCTTCATTACGAGGCATTAACACATTTGCACATGCAGCAATTGTCGCTTAATGTCGCATCAGCAATGTGAACTCGGTCCTGTGTAGGTATGTGTAATTTTATCGGAGCTAGTGATGCACGTAATAACTTAATGGGGAAAAAATGCATTGTGGGTGCAAGTACTGTTTAGAGATTGCAGAGTGGATTGTGTAAAAGTTTGGGACATGGGCCCTGACACTGCCATACACGTGCTGTGTTTGCACGGGGGCATCAAAATCTCATCAGGCTCAATGTCAACTGAGCAAACTTGATTAAAACTGGATCTTGTTCACAAGACATTAACGAAAATCCCTCCCACGAATGTTTCTTCATCTCCTCTCGATATAAACAGCTTTTGGCTGTTTAAGCTGCCTCCACCTGTACTCTTAACAAGTGTCTATTCATTCAAATAAAGGGTCCTAGTGTAAGTGCAGCTCTTGTGAAATGATACAATTTTGTTACAGGGTTTTCAATATCAAATTGGTGTTTCCAATCATAACGTATAATGTGGTTACAAGAGTAAAGCGTATAGCTTAGTACCATGTGCAGCATTTGCAAAGCATGTGACTGTCACATCATACCCTTCAGCTATAGGTCTATATGTTTCACAATTCAATTTACAACTTAACGTTTTAAATTCTGCAGACATATAAAGTAATTTCTGTCTGGGTGTGTTGTGGTTAAAAGCACTTTACCCACAATTGTCAGGACATGAGTACAAACTGAGCCAGTTTTCGATTCAACCCATAATTATTTTGGCAAAAGTAAAATATGTACAAATGTTGGTTTGTGGAATTGGCAGAGGGCAGCCAACGCTATCAATGAAAGTGCCTCATCCCATTTTCCATTTGAGCAGGGAGACACTTTGACTTGATGTTCATGATGTTTTAACTAATCTTGGGAAGTCTCACTTAGGTTGAACAATACTTATTTAAACTCTGAATAGTTGTATGTATGTTGAACTTCTTTTGCACTGTACATAGCCAACCGTACTAATCGAAGGTGCGTAAAAATGATTTATGGTGATTAATTAATGAAGATGTCTGATGATGGAATGTTAAAAATAGTTTAATTATGTTGTTCGACGGTGATGCTGATAGAACAATGAAGTAATAATGATGATAGTTAATGGTTATTAAGTAACCATTAGCATAAAATGTCTGTTCTTTTAAAAAAATACTAATCTTTACTGAGTATTTGAGCACGAGAAGATACTTTGGTAATATCAATGACCAGATGGTTTCTTGCTTCAGAGAAGCCGCCTCTCAACATCTGGACACCATATAAAAGGAATACACCCAAGCCAACATTTCTCTTCGATAAGAAAATAAAACACAGACGAGAGAAATCCATGAGGACCTCTTTTTAAAAGGGATAATGAAATACTTCATCTTGTCTTGACACATTTGGCTCATGTTCCAAAAGCAGTTGTGCCTGTACGGTGCTGTACTGGTACTTGCAGGCAACATTGGATCCGTGTGACTGCTCATCAAACCCCTCAATAATAGCAGGATTTGGCTCTTAATTACCGTACATATTGGCTTCTATCGAGTATGAACCATAATATACCTAACAGTTAATGTATGACAACAACACGCCTGCAAATTGGTAATAAGTGTTTGTTTATAGTCATTTGAGGGCCGATTGTAATTATGTATCTTGTTTTGCAAGAGAAACGTGTTCAAAGGCTCTGTAATGAGTCAGCAGTTAATGTGTTGTTGCAGTCATGACTGTCGGTAAATGTTTAACGTCAGTCTTGTTGACAGTTGCATTTAGTGAACTTATTTTATGGATAAATGGCCTCGTGGCCAATACGCTTATGCTTAGGTATGCAACAATCAGTTAAAATCAATTTTTACCATTCAGCATCGCAGCGTGTGTAAAGATATTAAATATGTATGCTAATTACACAACTACTAACAGCACGATATCGGAATTAATAGAATGAGAAGTATTGAAAGAACCAAAGAGTATAGAATGAGAAGTATTGCTCAAATAATTACTGTTTAAATGTCATCAGTATGATTTGGCTGTGATTGTATGTGCTACATTATAAAACTTGCCGGCATGCCTAGAGCTGTTCCTCTCCGATAGCAACACATATTGAGCGCCATTCAAAATTGTAAGCTCCCATAAAATATTTGCCATGGTGTGTGGTGTGAGTGCGTGACAGGCAACATTATGCCGAAACTATTTGGATGAAATTAACAAAAAATGTGTGCCTCACCATACTACTGATTTATCCATTTAATATTCTTTTCAGAATCTGAATATATAACCTGGAGAAATGTGATGAGCTATGAAACTATTATTCACGGACGTCCAGTAGGGGGCGGGTCAGGAAGTTACAACAACCATCAATACAAGCAACGATCGGAGTGCAAAGTACAGGCATACCCCGTTTAGCGTGGGGGATGCATGTCTAGAAACGAGAGCGCGAAGTGAATCGGCGCTATACGGGTTCATTATAGCATAGGCCCTATGGAGATGTGTTCCCGACATCGTAATTTATCACGTACGACCAACGCATTAGTGGTTCATGAGAACAATAATACAGATAAACATGATTAATAAATACTGTTAATGGCACATGAAATGTTTAAATACGATTAACAGTGAGAATAGGTTTTCCCCTTTTTACAAAACAGGTGTTAAGATGTTAAAACACCAAACTGAAACCTTTTACAAGGAATCACGTCTGATTGGCCCACACCAGAGACAGCTTTCTATGGAGCCTAGTCTCAAACGGTGTTAGACCAGAGGACGCCAAAAGGCGTCACACAGCACAAAGACAACGCCACTATCAGAGTAATGAGAGCTCGGGGTGTGCAGCTACATCATGGGACCTCCTTTTCCAGTACCAAAATATAAGATAGGTTTTCCCATTTTTTCTGGCAACAAAAAAGGTGTTAAGATGTTAAAGGACCAAACTTTTTTAGTATGTTTTTTGTTTGCATTCTGACCACAAGTATTGTGGTTGATGCAGACATGATTCCTTGTAAAAGGTTTCAGTTTGGTGTTTTAACATTAACCGAGTTAATTTCCCCCCCCCCCCCCCCCCCCGTGAGTTAATTTATTTCTAACTTCGTGACTTTACCGAAAGAACCAAAGAGTTTGGATTCCTGCAGTCACAAAAGCTGTAAATCAAGATTGATCCAACAGGTTTACAAAAATTGTCAACCCCCCCAAAAAACATTTTCACCCCCCCCCCCCCAAAAGGAATTTTTGAGGCATATATGGCAGTAGTATCTGCACACATTGGGGAGGGGCGGTGGAGGGAGAAATTCTAGTACCATAAAATTTTAATACAAAGGTTTTGATAACAAGTAAAGTTCAAAATGTCATAATTTATATGGCGACAGAGAGAATGTCTGAATTTACCATAATTCATAATTACCAATGCAAAAAAATATTCTTTGTTCATTTTTTACAGGTACTCTTGATCTCCTGGAAAACCAGAAACCCACTCCGATCAAGTTGAGAGCTTGAACAACAAACCATGTAGACTTGAGCTAAAGTGCATCAATACAGACAAGAAAACAAACTGAGAAAGTACAAACTAAGAGAAGGGGACGCTTAGACACGTTTGTCTTTGATTGCGTCTTCCACTTGGGAAACCATCAATCTCTCAACGCTTCAGATGAACCCTGCAATGTCTCATACGAGTCCAGAGCAGACCTCCTCGACAATGGGCCGACTGGACTGGAGTGCCTTGGCCGCGTTTGCCAGCCCGTGGCTGCAGGGCCCGCTGAGCACCCACTCGTGGGTGAGCCTGGTGGCGCGGGGCGCCGTGCTGTTTGCCGTGGGCGTCTTCCTCGCGCTGGTGCTCAACCTGCTGCAGATCCAGCGCAACGTCACTCTCTTCCCACCCGACGTGATCGCCAGCCTCTTCTCCTCCGCGTGGTGGGTGCCGCTCTGCTGCGGCACTGCAGCAGGTATGCCGGATTCCCTTTTGTATTGTTATTATACAGGGTGATCCATATATAGATGCCTGACTGATTGCCAGCGACCCTCTATATACGGCAATACCCTTGATTTACGTCTCCTCCTGTTACGTCGTTTCGCAAATACGTCGTGACTCTATTAACACCACTACCTGATTTGCATCGTCTCAACCCACACTTCTCGTATCCATCGCCCTGGTCTTCGCCTTCACCTGCCCTATAAATTGCTTTGATTTATGTATAATAAAGGTTTTTGGGTTAGATCGCGTTTATTTATAAATGTGTCGTAACCCGCCACCACCCGACACGGCCAATCAGCAAAGAAAAGTGTCACGTTGACAAAAGACAAATAATTCACTACTTCAGCCCACCGGTGTGTTGAAGAGTTAATCCACATTTACAGTTTGAGTACGACGTTTCGCTGGTAAATACTTCCAGCATCATCGGGCAATTCGCCAGAATGGTAAAGCCCTCGCTTGCTCCAGGTTTTATATAGAGCAGAAGAGTGACGTCATCACTTAACTCATCAGGTGCAGTGATTAGAGGCGGAGGGGGGGGTAATGTAATTATATAATCGATTAGTAATCAGTCATTGGTTATGATTAGTAATGAGTTGTAGATTAGTAATTCTTTAAATCAAAATGTAATGTGTATTATTTAATAATACGCTTCCAGGCCGCACTGAGCCGGTAGCTGTCAGAGCGATTAAAGTTATTCTTGTTCCTCTCAATTTCAATGGATTCTCTAATTAGTCTTTGCCAGTAATAATTAGTTTTACACACCACTGCAACATTGTCAAAATCAATTGAGTGTCCTTGTTGACAAGCATGTTCTGCCACTGCCGACAGTTGTGTTTGAGATAATTTAATATTTCTCTGATGTTCTTTTAGTCTTACGCTGATGTTACGTCCCGTCTGCCCAATGTAGCAGCTGCCACATGAACAATTAATCCGATATACACCTTCTGTTGATAGTTTAGGTAATGCGTCTTTAGTGCAAGATACTAGTTTTTGAATTTTGTGTACTGTACCAAATCTTACTGTAATGTTTTGCTTTTGCAAAACGCGGGCTAATTTGTCAGTTACTCCTGAGATATATGGAATTTTTATTGTTTTAACAATCTGGTCGCTTTCAGTAGTATTGCTTTGCGATCGTGATTTGGCATTCAGTGCTCTGTTAATTTGAGCATTATTGTAGCCATTCTGTCGTAGTGCGTCTTTAACGTGTTTAATCTCTCTCACTAGACTCTCACCATCTGACACTGTTTTCGCCCGATGCACGAGCGTCTTAATAAGAGAGGATTTTTGAGCTGGATGATGATGTGATTCTGCATTCAGATAGGCATCAGTGTGCGTTTGCTTTCTGTAAACGCTGTGTGTTATTTTACCGTTTAGGCCATGTCCAAGCAAAATATCTAGGAATGGGAGTGTATTATTCACCTCCATTTCCATGGTGAACTGGATGGCCGGGTTTTGTGCATTGAGATGATTTAGAAAATCATTAAGTGTATCTTTACCATGTGGCCAGACAACCAAAGTGTCATCCACATACCTAAACCAAAAGGATGGTTTTAATGTGCTCGAGGCAAGTGCTCTTATTTCAAAGTTTTCCATGTACAAATTTGCTATAGCAGGGGATAAAGGAGAACCCATTGCTGCTCCTTCCTTTTGTTTAAAGAAATCCCCTCTCCATACGAAGTAAGTGTTATTTAAGCAATGGCCAGCAAGTTTCGGAATATCTTTTTGTAAACCAGTATTCTTTACTAGTGTATCAAGTAATTTAAGAGATTCGTCCACTGGAACCTTAGTGAATAGAGAAATCACATCAAAGCTTACCAGAATATCATCAGGAGTAAGTTTAATATCTTTAATCACATTCACAAGATGTTCTGAATTTTTTATGAATGAAGATGTCTTACCGATGTAGGGCTGTATTTGTTTGGTTATATATTTTGCTAATTGATATGTGGCAGAGCCAATTGTACTGACTATGGGTCGTAATGGGATGCCGATTTTATGAATCTTTGGTAGCCCATAGAGTCTAGGTGGTTTTGAGGCCCTTGGCTTAATTAGGTATTGCTCATTTTTAGGGATTAATGAATTTGCAATTATTGCAGTGGTCTTACGTTCTAAAGTATTAGTTGGATCTCGTTTAATTTTAATGTAGGTACTTTCCTCTAGTAAATTTCTAATTTTATTATCATAATCGGCTCATGACATCAGTACAGTAGTGCGGCCTTTATCAGCTGCTAGGATTTGGATATCCTTATTTACACGCAGCTCTCTTAAGGCTTTTGCCTCGTTAGAGCTAATATTTACTTTTGGAACTTTGCTATTCTCAATTATTTTAGCAACCTCATGTCTAGTCATCTCTGCCTCATTATGTGGAAGGAGTCTAACTGCTGATTCTACCTCAGCAATTATCTCATCCACTGGAATTGTGCGTGGGGTAACGGCAAAGTTAAGGCCTTTAGAAAGGATAGAGACCATGTCACCGGTTAATACAGTGTTGGTCAAGTTCAGTACAGTTTTGTTTTTACATTTTTGGTTTTCAGTAGGGATTTGTTTATTATGTAGTCTAGAAAATTTATTAATTTGGTTAGTTTTTGTTAGTTTAAACACATTATCAGCCGATTGTTGTGTTATGTTATCGATTATATTCCAATAATGCATAGATACACTATTGCTTATATCTAAGTGTAACTGCTTTAGCGATTCCGAAATGTAAGATAATTCACTCCTATTGTGCTGTATTCTCTCTATTAATAATAATTCGCTAGCTTTGTGTAGTATTTGGTTAGCTTTAGAAGACTTTATGTGATGTGTTATTTTAACTGCGTTTGGTATTACCTTTGAATCTCTGCACCTTTTGAGGAACGCCAGTGAAGATATCAATTTCATCCGCTTAATGCGAAGCTTCTCCAATTTTCTGGTTTTAAGAAAAGTATCCTCCCCATAGAGGTTAGTCAGTTTAACACGTAGGCTTTCGCGACCAATATTATTCATAATAAAGGTTTTTGGGTTAGATCGCGTTTATTTATAAATGTGTCGTAACCCGCCACCACCCGACACGGCCAATCAGCAAAGAAAAGTGTCACGTTGACAAAAGACAAATAATTCACTACTTCAGCCCACCGGTGTGTTGAAGAGTTAATCCACATTTACAGTTTGAGTACGACGTTTCGCTGGTAAATACTTCCAGCATCATCGGGCAATTCGCCAGAATGGTAAAGCCCTCGCTTGCTCCAGGTTTTATATAGAGCAGAAGAGTGACGTCATCACTTAACTCATCAGGTGCAGTGATTAGAGGCGGAGGGGGGGGTAATGTAATTATATAATCGATTAGTAATCAGTCATTGGTTATGATTAGTAATGAGTTGTAGATTAGTAATTCTTTAAATCAAAATGTAATGTGTATTATTTAATAATACGCTTCCAGGCCGCACTGAGCCGGTAGCTGTCAGAGCGATTAAAGTTATTCTTGTTCCTCTCAATTTCAATGGATTCTCTAATTAGTCTTTGCCAGTAATAATTAGTTTTACACACCACTGCAACATTGTCAAAATCAATTGAGTGTCCTTGTTGACAAGCATGTTCTGCCACTGCCGACAGTTGTGTTTGAGATAATTTAATATTTCTCTGATGTTCTTTTAGTCTTACGCTGATGTTACGTCCCGTCTGCCCAATGTAGCAGCTGCCACATGAACAATTAATCCGATATACACCTTCTGTTGATGGTTTAGGTAATGCGTCTTTAGTGCAAGATACTAGTTTTTGAATTTTGTGTACTGTACCAAATCTTACTGTAATGTTTTGCTTTTGCAAAACGCGGGCTAATTTGTCAGTTACTCCTGAGATATATGGAATTTTTATTGTTTTAACAATCTGGTCGCTTTCAGTAGTATTGCTTTGCGATCGTGATTTGGCATTCAGTGCTCTGTTAATTTGAGCATTATTGTAGCCATTCTGTCGTAGTGCGTCTTTAACGTGTTTAATCATATATCTCAGGAGTAACTGACAAATTAGCCCGCGTTTTGCAAAAGCAAAACATTACAGTAAGATTTGGTACAGTACACAAAATTCAAAAACTAGTATCTTGCACTAAAGACGCATTACCTAAACTATCAACAGAAGGTGTATATCGGATTAATTGTTCATGTGGCAGCTGCTACATTGGGCAGACGGGACGTAACATCAGCGTAAGACTAAAAGAACATCAGAGAAATATTAAATTATCTCAAACACAACTGTCGGCAGTGGCAGAACATGCTTGTCAACAAGGACACTCAATTGATTTTGACAATGTTGCAGTGGTGTGTAAAACTAATTATTACTGGCAAAGACTAATTAGAGAATCCATTGAAATTGAGAGGAACAAGAATAACTTTAATCGCTCTGACAGCTACCGGCTCAGTGCGGCCTGGAAGCGTATTATTAAATAATACACATTACATTTTGATTTAAAGAATTACTAATCTACAACTCATTACTAATCATAACCAATGACTGATTACTAATCGATTATATAATTACATTACCCCCCCCTCCGCCTCTAATCACTGCACCTGATGAGTTAAGTGATGACGTCACTCTTCTGCTCTATATAAAACCTGGAGCAAGCGAGGGCTTTACCATTCTGGCGAATTGCCCGATGATGCTGGAAGTATTTACCAGCGAAACGTCGTACTCAAACTGTAAATGTGGATTAACTCTTCAACACACCGGTGGGCTGAAGTAGTGAATTATTTGTCTTTTGTCAACGTGACACTTTTCTTTGCTGATTGGCCGTGTCGGGTGGTGGCGGGTTACGACACATTTATAAATAAACGCGATCTAACCCAAAAACCTTTATTATGAATAATATTGGTCGCGAAAGCCTACGTGTTAAAATTGATTTATGTAGTTTCGACATTCGTCGCACCTTTTAGGAACGTATCCCCGACGTAAACTTGGATTTTATTGTATATGTAAATCCATTCCTAATGGTTTTTGTTCCCTTTTGAGTGACATGAATGGCAGTTGTCCATTGTGCAACACTACTTAAACTTCTGTTCAAAGCCTGCATTGTTTACGTAGCAATGTTTTCATATTTTTAAATGCGCCCGTTTGAGCCCTTAGCATATCATCAATTAAAATCCATTCTTATACTTTATTCACAATCAATGGATTAACTATACAGATGTATGGACAGTATGGGGCCTAGTGGCCGTAAATAATGATTGCAACGATGAGGACAGACAGGGTCAAGTGAGGTAACTGGGTGAGGCGTCAACGCGGGGGTAGAGATGGAATCCCCGGGGTGTTATAGTAAGGCAAAGGAGAGAGTTCGGGGAAAATGGGCATGGCAGAGCCGAGGAGAAATAAAAGGCAGTGCGGAGTGTGGCTCGGGGCTGCTGTGGGGATTCGGGGTCCGGACCGTCGTCGCTGTCATCACGGTGGACTGTCCTCATCTTCTTCGAAGGCTAGGAAAGAATTTATATATCTTCGCCGTGGCTACTACATCGACGGCTCCTACAGTGAGGGAAAAAAGTATTTGGTCCCCTGCTGATTTTGTACGTTTGCCCAATGACAAAGAGATGATCAGTCTATAATTTTAATGCTAGGTTTATTTGAACAGTGAGAGACAGAATAACAACAAAAAAAATCCAGAAAAACGCATGTCAAAAATGTTATAAATTGATTTGCATTTTAATGAGGGAAATAAGTATTTGACCCCCTCTCAATCAGAAAGATTTCTGGCTCCCAGGTGTCTTTTATACAGGTAACGAGCTGAGATTAGGAGCACACTCTTAAAGGGAGTGCTCCTAATCTCAGCTTGTTACCTGTATAAAAGACACCTGTCCACAGAAGCAATCAATCAAATTCCAAACTCTCCACCATGGCCAAGACCAAAGAGCTCTCCAAGGATGTCAGGGACAAGATTGTAGACCTACACAAGGCTGGAATGGGCTACACGACCATTGCCAAGCAGCTTGGTGAGAAGGTGACAACAGTTGGTGCGATTATTCGCAAATGGAAGAAACACAAAAGAACTGTCAATCTCCCTCGGCCTGGGGATCCATGCAAGATCTCACCTCGTGGAGTTGCAATGATCATGAGAACGGTGAGGAATCAGCCCAGAACTGCACGGGAGAATCTTGTCAATGATCTCAAGGCAGCTGGGACCATAGTCACCAAGAAAACAATTGGTAACACACTACGCCGTGAAGGACTGAAATCCTGCAGCGCCCACAAGGTCCCCCTGCTCAAGAAAGCACATATACATACCCATCTTAAGTTTGCCAATGAACATCTGAATGATTCAGAGGACAACTGGGTGAAAGTGTTGTGGTCAGATGAGACCAAAATGGAGCTCTTTGGGAGCAACTCAACTCGCCGTGTTTGGAGGAGGAGGAATGTTGCCTATGACTCCAAGAACACCCATCCCCACCATCCCCACCATCAAACATGGAGGTGGAAACATTATGCTTTGGGGGTGTTTTTCTGCTAAGGGCACAGGACAACTTCACCGCATCAAAGGGACGATGGACGGGGCCATGTACCGTTAAATCTTGGGTGAGAACCTCCTTCCCTCAGCCAGGGCATTGAAAATGGGTCGTGGATGGGTATTCCAGCATGACAATGACCCAAAACACATGGCCAAGACAACTAAGGAGTGGCTCAAGAAGAAGCACATTAAGGTCCTGGAGTGGCCTAGCCAGTCTCCAGACCTTAATCCCATACAAAATCTGTGGAGGGAGCTGAAGGTTCGAGTTGCCAAACGTCAGCCTCGAAACCTTAATGACTTGGAGAAGATTTGCAAAGAGGAGTGGGACAAAATCCCTCCTGAGATGTGTGCAAAACTGGTGGCAAACTACAAGCAACGTCTGACCTCTGTGATTGCCAACAAGGGTTTTGCCACTAAGTACTAAGTCATGTTTTGCAGAGGGGTCAAATACTTATTTCCCTCATTAAAATGCAAATCAATTTATATCATTTTTGACATGCGTTTTTACGGATTTTGTTGTTGTTATTCTGTCTCTCACTGTTCAAATAAACCTACCAATAAAATTATAGACTGATCATTTCTTTGTCAGTGGGCAAATGTACTAAATCAGCAGGGGATCAAATACTTTTTTCCCTCACTGTATATAGTAAGCGATAGTGAACGTCGTGTAGCAACTACAGTCACCCAGTTGTATATAGTCAACCTGCGTCCACCTGATAACATGTCATAGAGTCGGGTGGGCTGTAATATGTAATCAATATATTTATAACTTAAGACAGCATCTCTGAATGCTACATTACACATATAAGAAGCAGTTATTTTTTTATTAATATGTTTATGAAGCTTTTTTTATTGCACTAGATTGTATGTTCACCACAAACAAAATAATTGATTTGTCGAATCTTGTAGTGACTGAAATTCTTGACAATTCATCAAATCAAGGGGGTGAATGTTTAATTCCATACTCGTGTTGTTTGCCATGTGAGCCGTTGAATGTTGAAACGTTTAATCGATAAACAATTGTTTGTCTGTGGCTTTGACCAACACACATTTTCGTTTTGTGCCCGAGAACCAATGGTATTTGAGGTTGTTTCCTCCGTACCCGCAATGCTATGACATTACCCTTGGTTTCTAATGACATCCCACCAAAAGAGCTGCATCAGCACCGAGTACCAGGGTTGTGCACTTGACCCAACTGATCCTCCCCCCCGCTCCTTCAGCTGTCACGGTTTCCTATTACAGGGCTCTCGCACAGCAGGCTGGCATGGAAAGCGCTGCCCAACACGATTCACCCTCTGCTCGCGTGACATTGCATTAATGCTGGTTGCTTGCCAATGCATTTTTATTTTTGCCCTTAATGATTTCGCTGTGTCCGCTGAATACAGTGTTCCATTGCCTATTGCTGATGTGTGTAAGTTGCAACATTCGGTCAAACTCTTTTTGACCTCGTCCCTTGCTTTATTTGTTTTTAAAAAAGGGACATTGCAATATTTATTCCACAGCTGGGCATTATGAATATTTAATTAATCGATTACATATTATCAACCAGTATCATTGATACTGGCAAAAAGGTAACTGCTCAACCCGAGCTATAACTGCTCTGATACTTGTCGTTGTACCGTTCGCCTTTTGGCGTTCTCTGGTCTGACAGTGGTGAGACAAGGCCGTAAAGAAGGCTGTCTCCTGTGTAGGCCAATCAGTTTCGAAGACAATGCCCGTATATTATCAGAGCATGTTTGTTTGCATGTTTTTGCCACAAGTATGTGTGGTTAATGCAGACTTGATGCCTTGAAAAAGGTATCTGGTGTTTGAACATCTTAACACATGTTTTATTGCCAGAAAGGATAAAGCCTATTATATTTTCCATAGTAATTACTCCTGTTCGGTGAAAATGATAAATTCGGGGGTCATGATTTGTAACATGCCTAACGAATGCATGTTATGCAGTTATGTTTACCATGTAAGGGACATTCATATTATTGTGACTATAGTTATCTTAACGTGTTTCTGTCCCTTCCCCTTCCTACCTGTCGCCTCACGCCTGGCAGTTGTCATTGGGCTGCTGTACCCCTGCATCGATAGACGCCTGGGGGAGCCTCACAAATTCAAGCGCGAGTGGTCGAGCGTAATGAGGTGTGTCGCCGTCTTCGTTGGAATCAACCACGCCAGTGCCGTATCCTTTGGTTGCACCCATTGCTTGGCGTGCAGTGGGCATTTCTAACCCAAATCAAACTTGCACAACAGTGGAGTGTGCAGTGGAGTGTGCAGTCGGTGCAATTGCACCGGGGCTCCGCGTGCTGGAGGGGTGCAGGTGGCGGGCTACAAAGAGAGGGGGAGGGGAGAAGGTGGAAAAGAGGACCTTGTTTTTTTTTCTTTCGCAAGGGTCCATGCTAGCCATGCTACTACACTGCAGTTGCAGCGCATTCAGTGTGAGCAATATACACAGTATGTGGATCATTTTTGGTTTCAAGAAAAGGCTCTAGTGTTCGTGACCGAGCCATGTGGTGCTACAATTAAGGCTAGTATGTATGTATATTGAACTTCTTTCCTACAGTTCTAAAGAAATGAGCTTTCAATTTAGATTTAAAAGTGCATCGCTCAAGTGGCTTCCTAATATCGGAAGGAAGTGCGTTCCAGACGGCCGCAGACATGGTATTTGCAAAATTTTTGGTTTCAAGAAAAGGCTATGGCGTCTGTGACCGAGCCATGTGTTGCTACAATTAAGGAATGTTAAGTGAGGCCACGTGTGATCTGCACACTTGTCTGACCTTGAGTACGTCACTCCAACAAGAATGTATTGATCAGCTTTAAATACAAACTTTGTTGAGTAGCTGCTCCTGCTGTGTTGTCAAGTTGGGTCGGCCAAGGTAAAGGGTAGATGGGTTGCAACAACGCCTGATTTAAGTGCCCGTCAGTTTTATATACACAGAAATGCGATAAGATACATTTTTCGTAAGGCATTCTAATTAAAAATAAATAGTTTATTCTGTTGACAAATAGTATTCAATTACAACTGTTCTAAAAATATACTTTGCCAATGATTACCAATTGATGCTGAGCATGGTGGTGTAAACTTGTGTGTAACATCACGTATGAAACTCTTAACGAGTCATGCAAAATATATGCAAATATCACATGCTAATTGCTAAAAAAACTATCGAACTAAGAATACGAATGAGACGATGAACAACACTGAAAATTTACAATTGGGAATATCGATTACCAAATGAGAATTAATCCTATAGTTTGTAAGTTTTTCTTAACGACTGTGACCCCTTCCAGAAAGTGGACTTTGCCAACAACATCCAGCTGTCGCTGACGCTGGCCGCCCTGTCCATCGGCCTGTGGTGGACATTTGACAGATCACGGAGTGGCTTTGGCCTTGGCATCGGCATCGCCTTCCTTGCGACGCTGGTCACGCAGTTGCTGGTCTACAACGGAGTGTACCAGTGAGTTGTGCTCACACGCTGTGCTGCTGAACACCCACCTTACTAGTGTATTAACAGTTCGAATTATGTTCATTTCCACCTGTTAGAATTGAAATATCGCTTTGTCATGCAACGAACATTACTCTCGTATGCAGAGTGGGAAAGTGCTCCTCTACTGTGTGTGGACCGGAGGTCACTTTGAAGATTTCTCGGAGGTATCTCTGTGATATCCATCTGTGGGCTTTTCGCCAACACGAAGGGTTGCACTGCTGTGCAAGAGATTAGAAAGGATACTTGGTCTTGTGACGTGACTCTGAAAGCACAATCGGAATAATCGCGATGGCGGCGAATGACCCGTAAAAGAGTGTACTGATTTTTTAAAAGATAGTAATGCCGCTTCAGTGAGATGATACGCTATGAAAATAAAAAGGTAAGTTTTACTTGCTGACAAACTGCTCAATATTTATGTCAATAGCTATTGGAGAAATACACCAAGGCAGCATGGGAGAGACAGAATCATTTAATTTACAGAACGACTCGGAGAAATGTGTTTTGTTTCATCGTATGGCTCACATATATACATTTACCATTGTCATTGATGAATTCTTCGTTGTGTTTACCAACATTCAACAAAATAAAAGATACACAAGGGTACATTGTTAATTGTCGCAAGACTTGGGAGATCATGTGAATTGGTGAAATGCCAAAATCCACATCGCTGTGAGGTAGTAAATTTGTTACACTTTCTAGAATCTTTTGAGTGTTATGCTCTCGTATCCATTTATTTCTCAAGGTACATGCAAAACACCTTCAAAAAGGAATTGAACAAAAATCCAATGTCGGAGCATCCTAAAACAATACATTTAGAACTTAGTGAGGTTTTTTTGCTGGAAAAGCATAGTACATTATTATTATATACAATAGCGTTTTGAAACCAGGTGCTAATGTCATCTTGGGAACCAGGCCAGATGCCTGTGAATGTTCACTTTAAATATCTGCAACACATGCCCGTTATCGGCTTATACAGTCGCACGCATAGCAACACAAGGCTACATGTGTGCAAATAAGTGATTGAGTGAACTTAAATATGCGTACGCACCATCATTGCAGTACAAACAGTGTGTGGCATATTCAGGGCACTAGAACATGCATTTATAGTTATTGTGTGTTCAGGAACACACCTGGATTGCCCATGCATGTAGAGACTGTTGACCTCGTCATTGTGCATTTTAAACCAATGAAAACATTTTCTTAATCTCTTTTCTATTTTATGGGATGAATTGTTTTAATACATGTGGCACTTCCGTTGTTTAGAACGTCAAAATATACCATTGTTTGTTAAACTGTTAATTCATTTTTAATTGAACCATTATCCTTTACATGCTATGTCGAAGTCATAGTATGGAAACTATACTGGAACAAATACTTGAAACTCTATACAAAAGCTGAAAGCTATGCAAACAAGCATGGTGAACTGCATTCTTGAAATTACGCTGAGAAAAAGGAACATGGGTCAGAGAACATGTGCAAACTAGAGACATTGTATTTACTGCGAATAAAAGTAAGTGGGCTTGGGTGGAGATGTTGGCCAGTGGTCGAGATGAACGATGGAGTGCCAGCCAAAGGAGGGGTAATGATCAAGTGATGAGATGAACTTTTATTTAAGAACTAGATGGATTTAGATTTAAAGCTTTCGTGACTGCGGTGATCCATATTCTTGGTTCTTTCGTTAAAGTCACGTAGAAGGGAAAACAATAAAATAATAAAAATATAAAACAAAATTCTCACGACGTTTCGACTGCAACACAAGCAATCATCATCAGGTGTGAAAACCACAGCAAGAAAATTTGAAAAAAGTGGCGGTTTTTTTTAACGTTAGCAGCACGGAGAGCGATTTGGCAATTATTCAGATGGACGAGTCCATCTATGTTCGGAAAAGAGGACGGGGAGACGAAAATAATGGATGCGGTCTGAAAGCCACCGTAAGCGTGAACAATCAGTTAAGACCCGAAATGGTTTATCAAATCCTTCCAATGATTGCTAAGCCAGAATCCATCTTCTCGGTTGTAATTTAATTTTTTATTATTATTTTATTGTTTTCCCTTCTACGTGACTTTACCGAAAGAACCAAGAATACTAGATGGATTGTTGAATCAAAAGACCTTGAGGGATGTGTATGTATCTAAGTTGAAATTCTTTCGCACCGTACGTAGCCAACCGTGCTAAACAGAGGTGCGGGGGAAGGACAACAAACTAAACACAAAAAGCAGTTCCAAAGCAATGTATTTTCAATCTAGATTTAAAAGTGCGTAGCTCAAGTGGCATTCCTAATATCGGAAGTAAGAGCATTCCGGACGGCCGCAGAAGCGCATCTGAAAGTGCACGCGATGCCATGACCGTCTTTGTTCGATGGGCGTGTGGTGAGTGTAAGTGAGTGGTGAATAGAGGATGGAGTGGGGGGTTGCTGCTGTCACCCCGTGTGATCCCCACCCTGGTGATGGCTTGGGAAGGCCTTCATCCAGCAGTGGCCAATAATGATTATGAGTTTATGTACTACAATACTTAACTGTGCTTAATGAAGCAATGTAGTTTTATTCTTTATTGACATACTCCAACTGCAAAATAAACACAGGTAGTCCAACTAAAGGTCACGTACACATCCCTGAAAATAAACTAATGCTCCTTTGACTCTTTTATCTGATGTAAAATCTGGAGCAAAAGTCAGCAATGCTGATGCGTTTATCTTATAATATTTGTACATATTGGTCAGAGTTGAAATAGTGGTCAACAGGAGATGTGGAAGTGATACAATTCAAGAGGACCCCAGTTTTATCAGACTTTTTAAGAGTTAACTTTTTCCAGGGCCCGTGACCTCTAGAGCTGAATGGCTGTAGCACGCGTTGCTGCCTCGGACATGCTCGGTGTACACGTGGCAGAAACTTTTGACCCGCATCATTCAATGTATGTTTTTACCCTGGGAGGTGTTTTTGACAGAGTTGCTCATTTCATGTAGACCTTTTTGTGTTGATATTGCAAATTCCTCATCTTGCCCCTAGTTTTGTGGCAACCCTGGTACGTATACGAGGCAGAAAAAAACGAGAAAGACGGTACAAATTAAAAAGACGGTCCTGATGAGATACAGAGTACAGTCCAAACAAGACTGACTGCAGAGACGGTAAAGTCACGTAGAAGGGAAAACAAAAAAATAATAAAAATATAAAACAATAAAATTATCACGACGTTTCGACTGCAACACAAGCAATCATCATCAGGTGTGAAAACCACAGCAAGAAAATTTGAAAAAAGTGGCGGTTATTTTTAACGTTAGCAGCACGGAGAGCGATTTGGCAGTTATTCAGATGGACGAGTCCATCTATGTTCGGAAAAGAGGACGGAGAGACGAAAATAATGGATGCGGTCTGAAAGTCACCGTAAGCGTGAACAATCAATTAAGACCCGAAATGGTTTATCAAATCCTTCCAATGATTGCTACGCCAGAATCCATCCTCTCGGTTGTAATTTAATTTTTTATTATTTTATTGTTTCCCTTCTACGTGACTTTACCGAAAGAACCAAGAATACTAGATGGATTGTTGAATCAAAAGACCTTGAGGGATGTGTATGTATCAATGTTGAAATTCTTTCGCACCGTACGTAGCCAACCGTGCTAATCGGAGGTGCGGGGGAAGGACAACAAACTAAACACAAAAAGCAGTTCCAAAGAAATGTATTTTCAATCTAGATTTAAAAGTGCGTAGCTCCAGTGGCATTCCTAATATCGGAAGTAAGGGCATTCCGGACGGCCGCAGAAGCGCATCTGAAAGTGCACGCGATGCCATGACCGTCTTTGTTCGATGGGTGTGTGGTGAGTGTAAGTGAGTGGTGAATAGAGGATGGAGTGGGGGGGTCGCTGCTGTCACCCCGTGTGATCCCCACCCTGGTGATGGCTTGGGAAGGCCTTCATCCAGCAGTGGCCAATAATGATTATGAGTTTATGTACTACAATACTTAACTGTGCTTAATGAAGCAATGTAGTTTTATTCTTTATTGACATACTCCAACTGCAAAATAAACACAGGTAGTCCAACTAAAGGTCACGTACACATCCCTGAAAATAAACTAATGCTCCTTTGACTCTTTTATCTGATGTAAAATCTGGAGCAAAAGTCAGCAATGCTGATGCGTTTATCTTATAATATTTGTACATATTGGTCAGAGTTGAAATAGTGGTCAACAGGAGATGTGGAAGTGATACAATTCAAGAGGACCCCAGTTTTATCAGACTTTTTAAGAGTTAACTTTTTCCAGGGCCCGTGACCTCTAGAGCTGAATGGCTGTAGCACGCGTTGCTGCCTCGGACATGCTCGGTGTACACGTGGCAGAAACTTTTGACCCGCATCATTCAATGTATGTTTTTACCCTGGGAGGTGTTTTTGACAGAGTTGCTCATTTCATGTAGACCTTTTTGTGTTGATATTGCAAATTCCTCATCTTGCCCCTAGTTTTGTGGCAACCCTGGTACGTATACGACGCAGAAAAAAACGAGAAAGACGGTACAAATTAAAAAGACGGTCCTGATGAGATACAGAGTACAGTCCAAACAAGACTGACTGCAGAGACGGTAAAGTCACGTAGAAGGGAAAACAAAAAAATAATAAAAATATAAAACAATAAAATTATCACGACGTTTCGACTGCAACACAAGCAATCATCATCAGGTGTGAAAACCACAGCAAGAAAATTTGAAAAAAGTGGCGGTTATTTTTAACGTTAGCAGCACGGAGAGCGATTTGGCAGTTATTCAGATGGACGAGTCCATCTATGTTCGGAAAAGAGGACGGAGAGACGAAAATAATGGATGCGGTCTGAAAGTCACCGTAAGCGTGAACAATCAATTAAGACCCGAAATGGTTTATCAAATCCTTCCAATGATTGCTACGCCAGAATCCATCCTCTCGGTTGTAATTTAATTTTTTATTATTTTATTGTTTCCCTTCTACGTGACTTTACCGAAAGAACCA